AGGGGCTTAGGGTTTAGGGGCGTAGGGTTTAGGGACTTACGGTTTAGCATTTGTCGGGGAAGTTTTGGGGTCTGGGGTTACTCAGGGATGTTCAGGGGCTCAGGGCCTCAGAGATGTAGGGTTTTAGGATTTAGGGTCTTAGGGTTTAGGGTTTTGAGTTAAGGGTTTTCGTGGCTTAGTTTGGGGTTCTAGGGCTTTAGACTTGTGGGGGAGGAGTTTTGGGGTCTGGAGTGGGTTGTAGGGTTTGGGGGTTGAGGCCTTAGGGGCTTAAGGGTAGAGGGTTTACGGGGTGGGGGGGGGGGGGGGGGGCGGACTGCGATGCAAGGTGCAAATGCAGGTTGGCTCAGCCACATCGGTAGCTGCAGCCACGGTGGCTCACCAGCTGTCTCGCGCTCGCGAGCTTGGAACTGTTGACCACAGGAGCTGGCGGAAAACCCGCGCAGTCGTGTGGAGACAGGCGGTCAATTCGTGCTGCTACGCAGCGAATGGCCCAGCTACGATCACTGCTGGGCGAATGGATAAGAGGATGAGCTAAATGGTGGTTCTGGCGCTCTTGCACCTGATATGGCCACGAGGCAGCAGGCCGCCAACCATAATTCCGCACGAACTTTTGGAGCTGTGATGTAACCCTAAACCCTAAACCCTAAACCCTAAACCCTAAACCCTAAACCCGAAACCCCAAATTCTAAGCCAACTCACAAATACAGGTGCGGACTCCATCTCGGCGGGTTACGGGCTTCGGGCGGGTGAGTCAAGGCAGATCACAGCCTGTAGCCCTGCACCTCCGCACAAGGCAAATATGCACAATCATTCAGGAGAGGCCCTTTTTTTTAAGGGTTTAGGGATTAGGGTTTAGGGTTCAGGGTTCAGGGTTTAGGGTTCAGGGTTCAGGGTTTAGGGTTCAGGGTTCAGGGTTCAGGGTTCAGGGTTCAGGGTTCAGGGTTCAGGGTTCAGGGTTCAGGGTTTAGGGTTTAGGGTTTAGGGTTTAGGGTTTAGGGGTATTCTTGAAGGGTAGAATAGGACACGCTGCTCGCTCGGCTTCCATCACAGGAGTCTTCACAACCCCTGATTCCTAAACACCTAGTACCCCTAAAGCCCAACGACCGGAAAAAAACCCTACAAGCCCCCATAAGCCGCCGTAAGCCACTAAGCCCCTAAGACCCCTAAACCCCTAAAAACCAAAAACCCTAAGCCCACCAAAACTCAAAACCCAATCCCCAAAACAGCCCTAAAACCCTGAACCCCAAAGCCCTAAAACCTCAAAAAACCCCTAAAACCTATAGCCCTAAACCCCTTAACCCGTCTAACCACCGCCCCCCCCCCCCCCCCCCCCCAAACAAAAAAAGAAAATCTGGCCCTAAACCCTAAATCCTAAACCCCTTAAAAAAACCCCTAGAAAGACGCCCCCCAAAAGAACTCCTTCTTTCTGCCGGCCGCGGTGCAGGCTCAGCGCTGCGGTCCAGCTGAGTCTCTTCAGGGTCGGACCAATCCTGGAAGTACCTGAGCTGGGGCTTAGGGTTTAGGGTTTAGGGTTTAGGGTTTAGGGTTTAGGGTTTAGGGTTTAGGGTTTAGGGGTTTAGGGTTTAGGGTTTAGGGTTTAGGGTTTAGGGTTTAGGGTTTAGGGTTTAGGGTTTAGGGTTTAGGGTTTAGGGTTTAGGGTTTAGGGTTTAGGGTTTAGGGTTTAGGGTTTAGGGTTTAGGGTTTAGGGTTTAGGGTCAGACCAATCCTGCAAGTACCTGAAGGGCAGGGGTTCACGGTTTTTTGGGGTTGATGTTTCAGGGGTTTAGGGGTTCAGGGTTTTTAGGGTTTTGGGTTTAGGGTTCAGGGCTAGAAAGAAGGCCCAGGCAACTTAGTGGAAACTAGTGTTTGGAGGGGTGTAGGGTTTAGCTTTAAGGTTGTAGGAAAAGCCTCTTCGAAATCCCTGAACTCCTAAACCCTGCACCCCTAAACCCTAAACCCTAAACCCTGAATCCCAACTCTAACCTCCAATAAAACCTCTAGATCGTGTGGCGTAATATCTTCGCTCTGATACACTGTGCTTGATTGTACTCATTTATGCCACAACCCAACAAGTTCTTCTAGCGCAACCTCCAGCCCTGAACCCTAAACCCTAAACCCTAAACCCTAAACCCTAAACCCTAAACCCTAAACCCTAAACCCTAAACCCTAAACCCTAAACCCTAAACCCTACACTTATTTTGCAAGCAGCGCTTGGGCCTCGAAGTAGAGCAGGCTCGTGGGTGTGGGCATCGCGCTTTCGGCTGCTGGGAGTTTGGGGGCTTCGGGCTTCGGGCGTGGTCGAGTTTGGTGTAGGGGTTTAGGGGTTTAGGGGGTTAGGGGTTTAGGGGTTAGGGGTTTACGGGTTTAGGGGTTTAGGGGTTTGGGGGGTTTAGGGGGTTTTACGGGTTTTACGGGTTTAGGGGTTTAGGGGTTTAGCGGAGCGGTTTAGTGGCAGGGTTGGGTATAGTATGATGATCCCAATTGTCAAGTTCATCTGGCCCTCCAGGTTGTTTGCCGAGTGGCGATTCCTGTAGCGCCTCCTGGCAGATGCGTTGGGTTCGGTGGGCGGGATTTAGAACTTTTTGGCTCTAGTCTGAGAGATGGGAGGCTTCCTGCTTCATAAGAACAATGTTATACAAACCAAGGGGGGGGGGGGGGGGGGGGGGGAGGGGGCCCTCAACCCAAACCCCGCACCCAATTGAGGTACATTGGACCATAAACCCTTGGAGGGTTCATGTGGCTGCCAAAGGACGCAGAGATATGAGCCTGCCCGTCGCATGAAACATCTTTCACAAGAAAACCCTAAGCCCTAAACCGCAGAGCACCCCCAAGTATCCCGCAATGAGCCGAGGTTTAGGACCTGCCAGGGGGAAGGGGGGGGGGGGGCGGCATGGTACCGTGTTGGTAGGCCAGGTGTTGTGGGCAATCTAGGAGTATAAACCTTAAACCATTAACCCTAACCTTAAACCCCAGACGCTCAACCCTAGACCTTAAACCCTAAACCCTACACCCCAAACCCTCAACCCTGAACCCTAGACCTTTAAACCACGACCCCCGAGCTCTTGTTCTTGAATGCACGCCTGGCACGTGCAGCGCCGGCGTGGATCAAACACGACCTGGGCCGCGCTTGACAGGGGCTTTGCGACTGGGGGTTTGGGGTTGAAGGTTTGGTTCATCCTAAACCCTGACCCTAAACCCTAAACCCTAAACCCCAAACCCCAAACCCTAAACCCTAAACCCCAAACCCTAAACCCTCAACCCTAAACCCTACCCCTTTTAGTTCCAGTCCAGGCCATGAAAACCCTTTGAGCGGAGTCGTCCCAAAAACCCTGAGCCCCTGAGCACCTGAGCCAGCGGCCAGACGCCGTAGCAGCTCCTGAGCAGCCTGCGCGACAAGGAAGGGTTTGGGGTTTGAGGTTTTAAACGTTTAAGGGTTTGGGGTTTGGGGTTGGATTTAAGGGCTTAGAGGTTTAAGGGTTTGTAGTTTAATATTTAAGGGCTTGAGGAGGTGTAAGGATTTAAGGGTTTGAGCTTTACTTAGAAGATTAAGGATTTAAGGGCTCAGAGGTCTAAGGGTTTGGGGTTTTAGGTTTAAGGGCGTAGAGGTTTAAGGGTTTAAGGGTTTAAAGGTTTAAGGTTGGGGATGCTCTCTGATACAAACAGTCCTTAATGCTATCGTACCCCCCCCCATAATAATCCCTTAGGGTTTAGGGTTTAGGGTTTAGGGTTTAGGGACTCTTAGTGTAAGGGGGAACATCCCAAGCTTAAGGGTGGGCTTTAAGGCTTTAAGGACGGATTTAAGGGCTCGAGGCCTGAAGGCTTAAGGGTCTAAGGACTTGAGGTAGGGTTTAGGGTTTAGGGTTTATAGGGTTTATAGGGTTTACAGGGTTTAAATAGGGTTTATAGGGTTTGCAGGCTTTATAGGGCTTATAGGGCTTATAGGGTTTATAGGGTTTATAGATTCGGGCGCAGCGGTTCGCCACCCTCAAAAATGCCAAAACCTCCCAACCAAAAAACCCAACCAATCATCCTGAGCCCGAAGCCCTCTTCACGGTTTAGGGTTCAGGGTTCAGGGTTCAGGGTTTAGGGTTCAGGGACTATTTTCGATGATTTGCTTTAGAGCCCCCCCCCCCCAAAAAAAAAAAAAAAAAAGATCAAATCCCGATAGTACCCTTATAAGGATGGATATGCTTATTGAAGCTGCTATCTCAGGGCTTAGGGTTTAGAAGTTTAGGGTGTGGGGCCGAAACAAACTAGGGTGTAGGGTGGAATAGTTAAGGGCGTTTAGGGTTTGGGGTTTTTAGGCTACAAAACCCCATGAGCCCTGTACACACTACAAACTGCATCACCTAATCAGCCCTTCTTTAGGGTACAGGGATTTGGGCTAAATTTCTCAAGAACCTGACACCCCCAATTCCCGAAAAAAACCGCAATGTCTCCCACCCGCCCTAAACCACGGAGCCGACATCCCACAGTCCCTCGGACGCTGGAAACTCCAGCGTCGGTTTAGGGTTTTAAGGGTTTGGAAGAGTTTTTGAATGGCTTCTTGCAAGGTTTTTAATAGGGGTTCTAAAGGGTTTCAAGAAGGGTCTTAGAAGGGTTTTGAAGAGCTTGAAGGGACTTAGGGTTTAGGGTTCAGGGTTGAGGGTGGAAGGGTTAAGCTCAGGCCTGAGGGTCTGAACCTACGGCCCTCAGCTTCGCCGAAGCGCGGACATTGAGGGCGTTTTGTGGGGAGGGGCCTTCAGATGGGGCTTGTCTTATCAACCCTGTAGGTTTAGGGCTTAGGGCTTAGGGCTTAGGGCTTAGGGCTTAGGGCTTAGGGCTTAGGGCTTAGGGCTTAGGGCTTAGGGCTCAGGGCTCAGGGCTTAGGGCTTTGCGCTTAGGGCTTTGGGCTTAGGGCTGAGGGTTTAGGGCTAAGGGCTTAGAATGCGAGACCCCTTGTTTCTGTGCAGATGAACCCTGGAACCCGAAACCCTTGCGAGCGCAGCGATGGGCCGCCATCACCTGTCCCTGGCTGCTAGGAGGACTTGCTTGAGGTGCTCATGACCCAAGTCCTCGGGCCATTTAGGGTTTAGGGTAGATAGGGTTTAGGGTTTAGGGTTTAGGGTTTCGGGTTTCGGGTTTAGGGTTAAGGGCCTTAGGATTTAGGGCGATTCTTGCCCAAGTCCTCGGCCATTCGGAGTGGCGTCGTGCCAGCGGCATTTGCCTGGTCCGCATCGACGTTCTGATCCAGAAGCCACCGCACCACGTCCAAGCAGTCGTTCTCGCAGGCGATCAAAAGAGGCGTGGCGCCGTCAAACGTCCTTCTGCAGTTGGCGCTGGCGCCATTCTCAACCAACATGCGGACAACTGCCAACTGCCCAAACTGGGACGCCATGGATAGGGGAGTTGACCCATCGCTGGTTCTGCACGTTTCCTTGTCCGCACCTGCTGCCAGAAGCATGCTCACCACCTCGTCATGGCCATTTTGAGCTGCGATCAAGAGAGAAGTAGCTCCATCCGACGTCATAGCTCTCTCCGTGTCAACTCGTGCCTCCAGAAGTTCGCGCACCGTGCGCAAATGACCGCTTTCGGACGCAACAAACAGCGGCGTCGCACCGTTTGCCTTTCCCTGCTCAGGGTCGGCGCGTGCTTCGAGCAGAAAGCGCACTGTGTCCCAACGGTCGTGCTCACTTGAAACAAACAGACTTGTTGCCCCATCACTCGTTCTGAGCTGTCCGGGATCGCAGCGAGATTGAACCAAGAAACGGACAACGTCAAGCCGCCCAAACCTTCACTGAACTTAGATTAAAACCCTCGCAAAAATTGCAAGCTGCTTCTTGGGGATTAGAACGCCAAAAAAATGAAGGAAATATTCCCTAGTCTCCCTATAAGGAACTGGCAAGCCATCATCAAGGGCGTCGAGTTGTCACTCCGGGCAGCGCCCATGTCAGCGCCGGCCCTGTCGAGCATCTGGAGTGCTTGCAAGTGGCCGTTCTGGGCCGCGATGAGAGCCGGACTGGCTGCATCACTGCTCATGCTCTTGAATATGTCGGCCCGTCGGCCGAGCAGCAGCTCCACAATGTCAGTATGCCCGAACTCGCAGGAGATGAACAAAGCCGAGGCGCCGTGTTGCTTGGCCTGATCCACATCGACGTTCTGATCCAGAAGCCACCGCACCACGTCCAAGTAGTCGTTCTCGCAGGCGATCAAAAGCGGCGTCGCGCCGTCAAACGTCCTTCTGCAGTTGGCGCTGGCGCCACGTTCAACCAACATGCGGACAACTGCCAACTGCCCAAACTGGGACGCCATGAATAGGGGAGTTGACCCATCGCTGGTTCTGCACGTTTCCTTGTCCGCACCTGCTGCCAGAAGTATGCTCACCACCTCGTCATGGCCATTTTGAGCTGCGATCAAAAGAGGAGTAGCTCCATCTGATGCCATCACTCTGTCTGTGTCCCCTCGTGCCTCCAAAAGTTCGCGCACCGTGCTCACGTGACCATTCTCAGACGCAACAAACAGCGGCGTCGCACCGTTTGCCTTTGCCTTCTCGGGGTCCGCGCGTGCTTCGAGCAGGAAGTGTGCCGCTTCAGTCTCGCCAAACTCGCAAGCAGTGAACAAAAGAGTGGCTCCATCGGACGCTACCTGCAGTGTTGTTAAAGGAGCCTAGTACATCAACCAAGCTGTCATGATATGGAGATACCGCGCGGTAACTCAAGCAGTTCTGACGACTGTAAGTGAATTTAGGGTCCCTGACAGCAATCCCAGCTACTGCATGCTCGTTGGCACCCACACCAATCAGGAAGCGCATCATCTCGACCATGCCGAAATGACACGCCATGTGGAGCGGCGTGTGGCCGTCGCTTGTCCTTGCCAAGTCCTTGTCTGCGCCAGCTTCCAGCAGCACGCGCACGATTTCCAAGTGCCCGTTTTGGGAGGCGATGAGAAGAGGGCCTCTACTGGACTTGGAACCCTAGCAAAAAAATAGTCTTAGCGGTTCCTTCGGGATTACAGTACCAAAACTAACAATATCTTCTTTCACTGTTCCTGAGGGCTTACAGTACTCAAAAACTAAAAAATATTCCCACGAATCCCTACCCTAAACTCTAAACCCTAAACACAAAAACATCCCACGAAACCCCAAGGGGCTGGCTCCGTCGGTGCTCATCGCCGCGTTGGCGTTCGCGCGCGCTTCGATGAGCATCTGGACCAGAGACAGAGAGCCATGCTCACCTTAGAGCAGCTTTTTTGCAGAGAAGCCCTCCTTCAAAGAGGCTTGGGGTTTAGGGTTAGGGCTTACAGAGTTTAGCTAAGAAAGCACCAAACCCTGAACCCTTAAAAAACCACCGAGGAACACGTTCTTGAGGCCCAGTCTACTATTTGCGTAAGAACCCCCCCCCCAAAAAAAAAAAAAAAACAATCCCTCTGTTCCCCTTATAAGGAAGAACATCTGTATTGTTTGGGAGGTTCTTGAGCAACTCAGTCACTGGCAATGAAGAGAGGTGTCGCGCCGTTGGTCTGCATCCCGAGATCAACCGATGCGCGAGCCTCCAGTAGAAGCCTTACTTCTCCAATCACCCCTAAAACCCCTAAAACCCTGCTAAACCCTAAACCCTCAAACCCTCAAACACTCAAACCTGAACCCTAAACCCTAAACCCTAAACCCTTGGCTGCACTTAGGAGGGTAGCTATGAATTAAAAACAGAAACCCAATAAGCCCAAAAAAGGCTAAGGATCTAAAGTTGCAGCAAAGGCACCACAAAGAACCCTAAACCCTATAGGGTTTTACAAACTAAGGAGGCGCCCGTTGGCTAAGCAAGAAGCTCGCCGCAGCCATCGGCATTGTTGAGGGCAGCTGTTTGCAATGCCGTCAGGCCGTCCTGGGTTCTTTTTAGGGGGTTCAGGGTAGGGTTGGGGTTGGGGGTTTGGGGGTTTGGGGGGTTTTGGGGGTTTGCGGGTTTCGGGTAAGCTTCGAAAAACCTGTACAGAACCCCCCAGAAACTTCGCAAACATTCCCAGCTGGGGGGGGGGGGGGGGGGGGGGGGGGGGACGAATGGGGGCGAGCCGCCTACATCTGGGTTGCAGTTCAAGCACTTCAGAAACCTGCCCTAAACCCTAAACCCTCAACCCGCAACCCTAAACCCTGTAAACCCTGTATGAGGTTTCGGGGTTTGGGATTTAGGGCCGCAAGGAGGAAGCTGTGACCGCAGGAGATGGTCCACTTCTCGGCTTTGAGCTACCTCGAGCTACTTTCCCACCGAACCGCGTGCAAGCTTATTTAGGGTTTAGGGTTTAGGGTTTAGGGTTTAGGGTTTCGGGTTTCGGGTTTAGTGTTTAGGGGCGGTGGGGGGGGTGGGGTGGGGTTGTCATGGAATCGACCCCCTAAGAAATGGCACAATGTTCTGGGCATACTTGAATCGGCTGAACCCGAATGTTCTGATTTACAAGTAGAAATACTAAAACTAATAATAATAATCAGAACAATGATAATAGTAATAGTAATACGAATTATAGCTAATCATAGCTAAAAAAAAAGTGCTGAATAATAATTGAACAATAATTAAGAATTCATAGTTGAAACAGCATGATAAGCTTAATGCTCAAAAGAACTAAGAATCATCACCATGATTGTTATTGGAATAAAACAATAGTTTATCCCAAGTCCAAGCCCTACACCCCATCCACACTGGCAGGTTGGGATTTCCCCCCCCCCCCCCCCCCCCTATACCAACAATCCTTAATTGGGATTGGACTAGGGAGTACTGTAATCCCGACTGAGGATTGCTAGTACAATGGGGGACATCCCAACCCAAAACCCAAAAGAAGCCCTAAACCCTGAACCCTAAACAATTAACCCTAAACCCTAAACCATAAACCCGGTAAACCCTAAACTCTACAGTTACTAGCAGGGGCACCTTGACGCTGTCCGGATCGACCGGCTGCTGCAAGCAACGCTCCGCGTCATCTGTCTGGTCGCTCGCACAAGCTGTCCTTGGCAAAGGTTTAGGGTTTAGGGTTTAGGGTTTAGGGTTTAGGGTTTAGGGTTTAGGGTTTGGGGTTTAGGGTTTAGGGTTTAGGGTTTAGGGTTTAGGGTTTAGGGTATTGCTCATTGAGGTGACTGGGAGGTGTGCCTGAAAAAACCTTGAGCCCCAGAACCCAAAGTGCGAAAACCCCCCCCCAAAGGAAACCCTGAACCTCTTGGGAGTCAGAACGTCCTTCACCTACAAGTACTTGCTGAGTACCCTGGGCCAAATTAGGCTAACTTTTCCAGTATGGTAGGAATATGTATATACAGATACACCCCAAGAAAGTTCAAGGCTACCAACTCAACTACTAAGTTCAGCTACCCAAGGCTGCACCGAGTCTCACCAGCAGGCGCGCTTGCTCGGCATCGTCCGAGAAATTGGCGATCACCAGCTGCAGCGTCTGCGGCAGCTCCAGAAAAGCATCGTTCTCAAGCACCTCAGAGTTTAGGGTTTAGGGTTTAGGGTTTGGGGTTTAGGGTTTAGGGTTTAGGGTTTAGGGCACCTCGACCCGAAAAAGCGCGTTCATGACCGCTGAAGAGATCCTAGTTCCGCCGTAGCTAAACCCCAGACACCCCCTTAAAGCCTTTAACCGCAGAGACAATGGACACGGGGGAGTAGACCACAAAGCCTACACTGGCAAGGCATGGACCCTGAACCCTAAACCCTAAACCCTAAACCCTGAACCCTAAACCCTAAGCCCTAAACCCTAAACCCTAAACCCTAACCCTAAGCCCTAAACCCCAAACCCTAAACCCTAAGCCCTAAACCCTAAACCCTAAACCCTAAGCCCTAAGCCCTAAACCCCAAACCCTAAACCCTAAACCCTAAACCCTAAGCCCTAAACCCTAAACCCTAAACCCTAAACCCTAAACCCCAAACAGAGAAATGGCAGGTTTTGACGGTCGAAGCTAGCAAGCTAAAAGAACCTCTTCATAGCCCACAACGCCGAACCAAAGCAACCCATTGTCCCCTTGGCCCGTAAGGGTTTAGGGTTT